ATGCTTCTGCCCACGAGCAATGACCAGCCTTCCCTTTGTCACCTTCCATTGCTTGTTGCCAAAACTAACGTTATGGCCTTCCTCATCAAGCTGTCCAACTGAGATCAACATCTTCTTCAGGTCTGGAATATACCTCACATCTTTCAGCCTCCAGGTTGTACCCAAAGAGGTACTGAGATCAACATCTCCAATACCCGTGATCTCCAGGGATTTGTCATCTGCCAAACGAACTCTTCCGCTGTAGGGCCTGAAATTTTTCATCAAATCCCTGCAATGACAAGCATGAAACGACGCACCTGAATCCATGATCCAGGACTCAACTGAATTCTCAACGCTGCAAATTAGAACATCTTCATAATCCTCTGCCACGTTCACCTCCTTCTTGCCTTTGTCTGCAGGGGGTTTTGGGCACTGATTTCTGAAGTGTCCATTCTCTTTGCAATTCCAACAATTGATGTCCTTCCGGTTCTTGGATTGCCCTCTCTTTCTCGACTTCGATCTTCCCTTCTTGTTACCTCCTCTAGTGGATTTTCTGCCCCTATCTTCAGTACTCAACAAACTGTTGGAGCTATCCCCCGAACTCCTCCTCCGGATATCCTCACCAAGGATTAAGTCACGAATACCTTCAAAGGTAAGCTTAGTGGTTCCAGATGAACTACTAACCGCTGTGACTGTACCGGACCAACTATCGGGCAAAGATGATAACAAAAGTAACGCTTGGACTTCATCATCGAATTTAATCTCAACCGAGCCTAACCTGGATATGATTGAATTAAACTCGTTGATGTGATCTGTCACGGATGCACCTTCCTTCATTCTTGTATTCACCAACTGTCTAATCAAGAAAACCTTGTTTGCTGCTGAGGGTTTCTCATACATGTTGGATAACGCCTTGAGCAGTCCATACGTTGTCTTCTCGTTAACGATGTTGTAGGCAACGTTCTTCGCCAACGACAACCTCACCACACCAAGAGCCTGTCGATCCAACAAATTCCATTCCGCTTCCGTCATCGTTTCTGGTTTGTTCTCAGACAACGGTTGATGAAGCTTCTTCTGGTAGAGATAATCCTCGATCTGCATCTTCCAGAAAGCGAAATCTTGACCATCAAATTTATCGATCTTAACCTTCCCTTCGTCAGCCATAGCTCTGATACCAATTGTTACGATTAGGCAAAGATAAACGATAAATTAAGAGCAAGAACACAAGAATTAACGTGGTTCACGCAATCGGGGTGATTACGCTAGTCCACGGCGAACGAGAGAGAGGATGTATTATTATCTGCGTCCAACCATGTTTACAAGTACATTAAGAGTCGTTTATATAGGTTTAAGAAAACCTAAATCAAGATTAGAGCCGCAGGCCCAAATTAAGCCTGTTTTAAAAAATCCCGTCGACTGACCCGGTCGGGTCTCTTATTTGACCCGGTCGGGTCTCCTTCACAGATTTCACACCCGGGTAGAAACCAGGTCGGGTTTCCAAAACAGAAGGCTTCTGCCTCGCTGACCCGGTCGGGTCCCTTCCCTGACCCGGTCGGGTCTCACGCCCAGTGAGATCCCCGGTCTCTGCTTCAACATACCCGGTCGGGTGGCCAACCATACCCGGTCGGGTATCTGCTCTGAACCTAAAAACAAGACTCCATCTTCAACAAGTATGATAATAATACTTGCAGTGTGGACAGTATTTTAAATGCAACATTTATGTTTGAATAATGCAGGCCAAGAACTTAAAAAATAGCTGAATTTGTCAAAAACTGGCAGGAAAAGATAAATCAGGTAGGACTATTTTATTACTTAAAGAGTAGTCAACTTAAGCGTTTTCAAGCATATTCACGATTGAACAGAAGCACGGTGATGGGTTTCCTATAGACATGAATTTGGTAGAATAGAAAGTGATGTGCTTAGCTCAAGTGCCAAATAATGGTTCATAGAAAAGTGAGGATTTTACTTTACCATTTTAAAGTTTAAACTGAATGAGGACTGCATTTCAGAAGAAAATGCAAAGAGAGACGTCCCATGTTAAGGTAAACTCTTACTATTCTCCGTTTCTTTGACTAAATTTTACACTATTCACAGACTCTACTTTGACTAAATTTTACGCTATTATTTTATGATTTTTTTTTAAAGATATTGTTCAATTCATCTCATTACAAAGTTTCAAAATCCGATTTTTAATTTTTTTATTAATAGAGATTAAGATATAATTACGGTCAAAGACGTGCGTTGACAAATATTAAATGTTGACTGTTGCAACTAAAAAAGAACGGAGGAAGTATTTGTCACGGAGTAATTTTTCTTACGTTTTGGATAATACTTCTTATAATTTGGTGCCCTATCGTGATAGAGGGGAATCCGCAAAATGAAGGGACACTAAAAGGAATAGCAAAGAGGAAGAAGGAAGCTAGGCTATGTGCGTAAAAAGAGAAAAAGCTGAAAGGGGTATCTATGTAATTTACTTGAGCTAAGTTTGTAAACATTTAGACTAACCACGTAGATACAGAAAAATATTTGAGGCTGTTATTTTATAATTCAAAAAATTAAACAAGTTACTCCGTATAATTTAAATGTTATTTATATCCATCACGTGGATATAAATAACATAAAACACATAAAACCAGTAAAGTAAATGATTCAATTGACAAGTGTTTCAAAGAAATTAAATACAATTCAAAGATAAATGTTGCAAAGATAAATTGACGGTGTTTCAAAGAAGTTAAATGCTCCGTACAAATTAATGGTCCAGTGCAGAAAATGTGAATTAAAAAACCTTCACCTTCATACAATTGACAATAAAAACACAAAATCAATCACTAAATAAGAGAATGAAAGAAGAACGAACCACAACAGCACCCTCTGAGCTTGATCTATTTACAGCTGAATATACGCAGTATAGAATACATCAAAAGAGATTTACGTTTGCTTGCATTGGGCTGAAATTTATATTGGCCCAAGATGTTTGGCCATTCTGATTTTTCTTGCAAGAATATGGGTTTAATTTTTAAATTCTGTAAGAGCCCGTTTGGTAGCACGAAAATCGACTGATTTAGCTGATTCTGCTGAAATTTATGAAGTTATGACTGAAGTGGCTGCATCGGCTGATTTTGCTGATTAAAGAAAAAATAATTTTTAAAATATGTTTTATTAATAAAATGAAGAAAAAATTATACGAGTATGTTAAAATAACTAAAATGGTCATCTACAGTAACTTCAGCCTATACAGCCAGAAAAGTAACTTCAACCTTATTTTTTCTGCTTATTACACAATTTAGCGCGCGAAAACAAAAATTATGTGTTTGGTAAAAAAAAGGGACCGATAAGTCTGATAAGCCGAAAAACAGTGTTACCAAACGGCTTCTAAATAAGAGTAACTTCTCATCCTAATTTTTCAAAACATGTTATTCTACATTTTTATGTTATCTCTTTTGTTTTGCGTTTGTATTCATTATATCAACTAGATGTTGGTTTTGTGTTATATCATGCATGTATTATGCGTTTCTTCTACGATTATTAATCTTTTATTAACATTTTAGTTCATGAAATTCATATACTACATCCTTCCCGCTGGAAGGTTCCCATAGCAAAATGACACGGTTATTTAGGTGATAATTAAATAAACTACTTCGAGTATATTTTGAGAAATAATTTGAATAGATATACATTATAATGTAGTTAGTATTGATAACTGTGATGTTATAAATGTATTATTTTTAACATTTAATGAGTAATTTTTCACTTAAGATGGTTAATTATTTCCTAAAATGGAAATGGGAACCATCTAATAAAACGTCCAATAAAGGTAAGTGAGAACCTTATAACGGGACGAAGGCAACATCAACCAAGAGACTATTTTTCCCGTGCATCGCACGGGTCACATACTAGTCATATTTAAAAACAGGTCAAGGGAATTGTCTGGTGGGAGACAAGTTTCATTAGAAGTGTTTATGACCGGTCTTCTAACCATTCAGAGTTTTACTTCAGCTCTTAGTATATCTGTTTTTCATCTAATTAAGAAACGTCTCGATTGAGATCAGCAATACATGATTACATGCTAAACTTATCCAAGTCCAGCCATCGATCCAACAAACTAAACATAGCCCAGTAGCCCTCACCTCCACCCCCAACCCCTCATAAGGCTTCGACTTTTATTTTTTGACACTTGTTGTAGAATGCCTTCATCCGTATGCATTGACAACAGGAATTGTGCTATTTCAGTGAGAATATGAGTAGGGATGTCAAAAAACCCGACCCGCAATGACCCGCCCTGGCCCGAGACATTTGGGGCGGGTCCGCCCCGCCCCGTCTTGCAAATGGGGCGGGTCCGCCCCGCCCCGCCTATACAATGGGGCGGGTCCGGGTATTAGAATTGACCCGTTCCGCCCCGACCCGCCCCGACCCGACCCGCTCAATATATAAATATACATACTTTTTCTTAACTTATACTACAAATATACTTCAACATACATATGTGTGTATACAATAAATCATAAATTCTTTGATCTTATAATATATGAATATATATTAGAATGAGATGCAAGACGGATTATCAATGTCTTCTTTATATATATAGAATTTTAATACATTTATTCAATTATTAATATAACTAATTAGATTAACTATTCAAGTTTGAGTAATTTTTTCTTAATTTTTGAAAATTTTAGCGTATCATGAATTTGATTTAATATATTGAGTTTTAATTATTATTTAGAGATAAACATTATGTAGATTCAATTGGTAACAACTTCCTACAAATAAAAATAAAAACTAGCTAATTAGGTTGCGGCGGGGCGGACCTGCCCCGCCCCGCCCCGCATGGGGCGGGTCATGGGTCAACAAGTTTGGACCTGTGCAGGTCACGGGGCGGGGCGGACCCGCCCCACCAAGTCACGGGGCGGGTCCGGGTCTTGCAGTACCCGCCCCGCCCCGACCCATTGCCATGCCTAAATATGAGCCACATGCCCAATATATATGATGAAGAAATCAAGTGTGCTTTTGAAGACCTAATGGCCGCAAGCTGGGATGAGATCCCAGAAGTTGTTATAGACGAAATAAACAAGGCATTATCCAAAAGTACTGATGACAAGGATTGGGCAGGAGGCCTCAGCTAACGATTTCCGTGCAACAGAAGCCATAGAGGAGTTCATATGTATCGAAATAAACTTGAAAATGGCAATTGATGATGCTCTTGGGTTAAGTGATGAGGTAACAATTGTCCCCAAATGGGGAAAAAAAAAAACTCGCTTCTAGATTTTTTTTTTGTCCCATAAAAGTCATATCTCAACAAAAGATCCTATCTTTCATTGAGTGGTTTACAAGAGTTGCACTTGATTACAATTAAAAAGACGATTAGAAGAGTTGTAGCTCTTACATAGATAAAAGTTGTACATTGATGAAAAAAGACCCTTCGTTGTGGAGATGAAGTAGTTAATACTCTGCATCACTTCATGTATATGTATGTTGTATGCATTAATGGGCAATTGCTTCTTGATTATTTCTAACATTTGACAGAATGTGAAGCTAATGCCAAAACGTATGGTGAATGCATTTAACACAATCTCCACTAAAGATGTTGCTGGCTCTCTAGGTTTGATAATAATTGTGTGACTAAGCTTCGTGCCACTCTTGGATTCTTGTGCTGGTTCTGGTTTGGGCTGTACATAATAAAGGCCCAAGACAGTGCAAAAACCCATTCAAACTATAAACAAAAATAAAACAACTGTTTTCTCATGTTTTTCTAACCTGAAGTTCTGGTCGTCTGTTGCTGAGTTCAATTTGTTCAACCTAAGCATGATATGATAATACTAGTATTAAGATATCAAAATTCCTTTATAAATCAATTACAGATTAAAACTTTTTTGTGTGTTAAAAATTACTTTAAACCGCTCCACCAGTTGATCTTCCTTTTGCGATGTCTACTGCATAACTGCTGAATTGCATTCTTCTTCATAATAATAGCAAAACCCATCATGCTCATTAATTATGCATTTTTTACTCTCCTCAACTCCTTTTGGGAGTTTGTTCGAGATGTCTTTGCCTTAAATGGTTGGGGCTGGGACGGTTCCATTTCGGAAGGCCTGAGATGTTGATTTTCTTACATACGATGTTTCAAGGGATCAAATATTTAATATGAAAGCTGCAATTATGTGGACAATTAGTGATTTTCCAGCATAGAATGCTCTCTGGATGGAGTAATGCAGGTCCTATGGGTGCACCGTTTGTCTGGAAAAGTCAAATGCATTTTGGCTAAAGAGTAGTCGCAAATCATCTTACTTTGATTGTCACCAGAAATTTCTCCCTCTGAATCATCCATATCGAAAGGATAAAAAGTCATTCATTAAGGATCACATTGAAAAAAAAGGATATCAGATTTGTGATCGTGTTCGAAACATCCCTTCAGCCATACATAATCCTCTTGAGTATCCAGATGGATATCTAACTCATCATAAGTGGACAAAGAAAAGCATTTTCTGGAATTGCCATATTGGAAAGATCTTCTCATTAGGCATGATTTGGATGTAATGCATATTGAGAATAGTATTTTCGATAACATTTTTAACACGGTGATGAGCTTCAAGGGAAAGACTAAGGATGGCCTTTCATAAATAAAGGATGTAGCATTGTTTTGTGATAGACGTACCACAAATTGCTATGGTCTGACCTCAGTAGGATGCATGGTCTCTCTGATTGTATGGGGTGAATATAGAAGATAAAGCAATAGGATGACATAAATTAGGGATGGTGTGAACTTGTGAGTGGGGTGAGTTAGCGGAGGTGTAGGAATTACTTGGTACAAAACCAGTTGGATGATAATGTAATACACGAGATTTAATTGAATCGGATTAATAATACTACTCATATCAACAAGGTGCATCTCCTTTTAAGGGAGCTTATCAGCTAAGAACTCCAAAGTTAAGCGTGCTTGCACGGGAATAGTGTTGGAATGGGTGACACCCAGAGAAGTTTCGCAGGGCACGCACGAGTGAGGACAAAGTGCACGGTAAAGGCAAAGTGCACGGTAAAGGCTCGTGATGGTTTGTCCTTTTGTGAGGACAGTATTAAAGGTCTGGAGTAACTACCTCGGGTCCTAAGGGGCCAGAGTGTTACAAATAAAGAGTGAATTAGAAGAGGAAGGTACAAGCTCAATGGAGATGAACCGAGCCATTAGACGAAAATAAAATGAAAAAGAAGTTCTTTTAAAAGAGTACACATGTTAAAATACATTGTAGAACCACGATAAGTTAGGTGATTTCACCAACATTGACTTTTCTTGGTCAATGATGACAAACTTTGGGCATTGTAGAACCTCAATAATTAATTATTATATTTATAAATAATTTATAAATTTTATACTTTTATGAAAATATTTTGAATAGGGAACATCGTGATATCACTTTCATATTCAAAATAATTTCGTATTAAAAAATATAATTGGCCAAAGTTGATTGTCAAACATTTGGAAAATCAATTTCGCGAACGTTTTCAGGATGGAGGGAGTATTACGATGGTATATTATATAATTATATATTATTAAGAAATTAGGCATGGCATGGGACATGTATCCAGAAATGCGGACACTTGGAACGAGTTGCTCGAATTAAACTTAACCCTAGGCCCCACATGTTCTTTTTAGCGCTTTACTTATTTAGGAGTTCTTCGTCCAATTCATTCACCGCCAATTCAGTATTGACATCACATCTTCGAATCAAGGTAGGTAGAGAGAGTGAGAGGAAGAGGGGTGGCGCCGTGGGGAATCAATCATGGCCATCTCTAGCTGCGCCATAGTTTTCCCTCCGTCGACTGCCTCTCCGGTCATGTCTTCTTCGACGAGTATGCGCCCTTCGAGTGCCACTTCTACACACTTCGCAAATTATTCTACACATGTATTACTGGAGATTAATGTAAATGGATTAATACTACTAATCATACCAATAGAGGTGCATCTCCTTTTAAGGGAGCTCATTAGCTAATAACTCCGAAGTTAAGCATGCTTGCACAAAAGTAGTCTTGGGATGGGTGACCCCCTGAGAAGTTTCTCAGGGCGCGCATGAGTGAGGACAAAGTGCGTGGTAAGGCTCGTGGTGGTTTGTGAGGACAGTACTAGAGGTCTAAAGTAACTACCCCGGGTCCTGCGGGGTCGGGGTGTTATCAGAGCAACCCTGAGACATTGTGCTGGTCCGTTGGATATCAGACAGACACTTAGCGGGGCGAGATTCTGTGGTTTGATTGAGATTGGTTTAAGAGCGTAGCGAGGACGTTGCAATCCTAAGTGGGGGTGATGGTAATGCTAGAGATTAATTTACATAGATTAATAGTGATAGTCATACAAACAGAGGTGCATCTCCTTTTAAAGGAGCTCATTAGCTAAGAACTCTGAAGTTAAGCGTACTTGCACATGAGTAGTCTTGGGATGGGTGACCCCCTAAGAAGTTTATCAGGGTGTGCACGAGTGAGGACAAAGTACATGGTAAAGGCTCATGGTGGTTTGTGAAGACAGTACTAGAGGTCTGGAGTAACTACCTCGGGTCCTGCGGGGCCGGGGTGTTACAACACACTTCGCAGTCTCTCTTCTCGCATCTTCAGTTCCCGCCAAACTTCATGTTTCCCCTGTGTCTGTTTTTATTTGAAATTACATCGCATAGAACTGATAAGTTTCCGTAAAGCAAGAATCCATTATATTGCTCTCAATGATGAAGATCTATGTACAATAATGTAGTCATTAATTGATACCACTTCATAGTATGAACTATGAAGCCCTATTAATGCTAAGAATGCACTGTTGGAATTTACCATGGTAATTCTGCCCTTTTTCATTGGACAAATTGTTTCTGTTGATGAGATGGACAAGAGAAAAATCGTGTAAGTTTAGAATATGGAAACATTGGATTTAGCTCTTGCCGAAGAGAAGCGGCACCAGAAGGAGATAAAGAATAGTGCCTTCTAGAGATTTTATATGGATTAATTTCAATGCTCATCCTCCGATTCTTTTTCAATGCAGTCGGTGACATTTGATTCTTTTTCATTTTTCATTCTTGTTTATTAGTATCTCATTCTTGCCATATTGTCCCTTCCAAACCGCTTCAAGTAGAAATGTGGTGCTCTCTGTGGTGGTTTTATATTGCTTTTGTTGGGAAAATTTTATGGTGTCCAATCTAGTTAAATATCTTTGTATTTGTGTAGCTATTATTTAAATGTGTAACATGGGCCACAAATGTATTTCACCCCATTACCACCTTTGTAAGCCTTAAGTTAGACATCCCATTGTATAAAAGGAAGCTAACTTAAGGAAAACCCTGAGGAATAATAGAATATAGCAAGCCTAACAATAGAATAGTCTACTACACTGCTCTCTCTCTCTCTCTAGAGGGAGAGCAGCGGCCGTTTCTCTACATTGTGCAAAATTTCCATATTTTTATGTATTGAATCGGAGCTTTCTATCTGTTTCTTCTCTATTGTTTGGTTGCTTGATTGTTGAAACAGTCACAAAAATGTGGTATCAGAGCTGAGACGTGAAATAGATTGAATCCATTTGCGATTTTTCGGATCTGGTATTTTCGATGAAGACCAAGCTATTCGAAAATCTCATTTGTGAGACTTTTGGTTTGACGATATGCTTTCGATGATTTTCTGCAATTTTTGGAAGATTAGGATCGAAATCCGTTTGAAAACATCCTGCAGTTTCATTTCTGGAGAAATTTTGTTTTTACAGCTGCAGATTCAACGAAGATAGGTTTTTTGAAGTTTGGAGGTTTTTCGAAGTTTTGTAGATTTCAAATTTTGGAGTTTCTCAAAGTTCAGAATATTTCAAAGTTTGGATTTTCTCGAATCTGAGGCTTTTTCAAAGCTTGATATTTTTCACAGTTTAGAACTTTTCGAAACTTGAAAGAATTTTCGAAGTTCTCAGCTTTTCGAAGTTTAAAAGATTTTTTCGAAGTTCTCAAATTTCGAAGTTCTCAAACTTTCGAAGTTTAAAGAAGTTTTCGAAGTTCTGAAGTTTTCCAAAGCTCTAAAGTTTTTGATGTTTTGAGGTTTTCGAATGTCCAAAATTTTCGATGTTCTAAACTTTTTCGGAATTGCAAAGTTTTTGAAGTCTCGAGTTTCTCGAAGTTGAATTTCAAAAACAGGTTTCTCGCTGTTAAAGTTCGAAGACAAGTTTCTCGCAGATTAAAGTTCGAAGACAAGTTTTTCGCAGTTGAAGTCTGAAAACAAGTTTCTCATAGTTGAAGCTCGAAGAAAATTTCTCGCAAGCAAAGTTCGGAAATTTTTTTCCACGATTCGACTTCGATAAATCTTTTTCGCAGTTAAACTTCGAAAAAGTTTTCGCACTTCATCATGGAGAATTCTTTTTTCGCACTTCAACATTGAGAAAAAGTTTTCGCATTTTTAACCTCGAGAAAAAGTTTTCATAGTTCAACATCCAAAAAAGTTTTCGCAGTTCAACATTGAGAAAAAGTTTTCACAGTTCAACATCGATAACCTAAATTTCGAAAAAATTCTCAAAGTGAAAAATTCCAACTTCTCAACGTCATGCACTGTTTTGGCCATAACTTTGGACTCGGTGATCCGATTTACGCAATTAATGCCTTTTCGGAAAGGTAAAGAAAAGATCTACGCCATTCCCCGAGTATAACTCAGGACCCATTCTCATGCACCATCACTCGCCGTTCTTGAGGGATATATCATATGTTTTCTGAGAAACATTGTCAAACACCGAGGTCAAGGTCGAAATTGAGGCAATTCCGTTCGATCTTTCCAAAGTCAAACCAAAGGTCAAAGCTGGTCTAAGCTACACTGTAAAGGTCCGGAACTCATAGATAATTCAATCAACCTCGCGTCAACGATCATTGTACCACAATCAACAATCAAGTATTGATGCCTCCCCTAACTCATCAAC